GTTTCTTCACCAGAAGGGTTACACCAAACTCCTCAGAGTATGAATTAGCACAGTTCATCTGAGCCACCTATTTCATTTGCACTGCTTAGTGAGGGCTCGAAATAACTCGCCCACCTGTGCAGACAGTGGGATCTTTGGTTGGCTCCTTAGTCAGGGGGACTTGAGAAATGCTGTGTATCGACCACCAGATCAGAGAGCTGAGACTATACATAAAAAGTGGCTCACGTGTGTGAGTGTGTGTGTTTGATCTTTCCCCTCCCCGCCATATTCCCCAGGTAGCTGCACTATTGCCGTGTGCCCGGAAACTCCCGAAGTATCCAGAGACCATACGTGAATGATAATGATGCAGGTGCACAAAGCCCAGCATCAGTAGGGAAGAAAGTCATCATTTGCAGGCTCGTTGTGGGCTGGTCCTCTCTTCTCACCCATTTTACTGTTTCTTCCCAGGCTGCAGTTGTATTCCACACCCAGGGACCCTTATGGGGACAATGAGAAAACTCGGGGTGCTTCTGGATACATCTTCCCCAGGGCGTGAAGTATGCAAATGGATGACTGTTGTATTTATGTTTAGGGCTGAACATATACACACACGTCATGGGATGTGGGGATGGCAGCCAACTTTGTTTCATTCTGCTCTGCTTAAGGAGATAGCAATATTCTTTTTTAAGTTATGCTTTTATTGTGGTAAAATATACATTAAAATTCTACCATTTTAACCAATTTAAGTGTACAATTCAGTGGCATTAAATACATACACGGCATTGTACAAGCAACACTGCTATCCATTTCCAGAACTTATTCATTACTGCAAACAGAAACTCTGTACCCATTAAAAGATAGCTCTTCATTCCCCCCTTCCCTTTGAGCCCCTGTAACCTCTAATTTGTTTTCTGCATCTTTGAATTTGTCTATTGTAGATGTTTCATGTAAGTGGAATCGTACAGTATTTGTCCTTTGGTGACTGGTTTATTTCACTTAGCGTCACGTCCTCAAGGTTCATCCATGTTGTAGCATGAATCAGAACTTTATTTCTTTTTAGGGCTGAATAATATTCTGTTGTGTGTATATACCACCTTTTGTTTCTCCATTCATCTGTTGCTGAATACTTGGGATTTGTTTCTACCTTTTGGTTATTGTCAGTAATGCTGCTTTGAGCAATTGTGTACAAGTAGTCTTTTTGAGTCCCTGTTTTCCATTCGTCCAGGTATATACCTAGGAGTGAAATTTCCAGTATTCTTTTAAGTCATTGCTCTTAGGTAGTTTGTAAGTGAATGTTAAGTTTTCTGGTGTCTTGACCATCTTCAACTCTCTAATATCTATAAAGTCAAGTTTAAAAATAATTTAAAAACCATACTCATTGTAGAAAACCCGTGGAGAGAAACAAAATCGTAATCTGATCACATAGAGATAATCACTACAACAGTTCGGGCTTATTTCCTTTCAATTTCCTTTTGCATATCAAGAGTCATCTATACCTGTATGTGAAATATGTTGAAAGAGGCCTCTTCTCAGATGTGTTTGCAGGACATAACGTAACTTTCTGTTCACTTCGTCGCTCCATGCTTCCTCCGCATCACTGCCCTCCCCAATCCCAATCAACCCCGATCAAAGAGAGTGGTGGGGGTGGGCAGGGGTGGGAGTTGGGGGAGTGTCTGCCAGGATTATCTCCGATATCACTGCCAGTTCCTCTCCCTGCTAAACTATGTGCTTTCTTGTTGCAGCTATCAGAAGGGCTGACTAAAGGGGAAATGCAGCTCTGCAGCAATATTCTGATAATCTATTGCAGTGCAGCTCACATCACTGTCTATCACCACCCAGGAACGCTCATCAGGACCGAAGAGGAGTTTTCACTTTCATTACTGAGCACAATTCTGTTCAACTTGGTATTTCCTTCATCGTCTCATGTCCTTTCTCATGGATTCAGACATGTTGGAAAGGAGAATGTGGAGGAGGAAAACATGGCAGGTCCTCCATTTTTTTGGTCGGGATTTGGGCATTTAAAATGTGTTCATCTCCTCTGAATGTCATTATTTGATAACATTTTACTCATGTTGCTTAAACATCACTGGATACATTTGAACTTCATGGGATTCTAACTGTGGATTCAGCTTCTGTTGGACAGCTAGCTTCATCTCCCGTTTTTCTGCTGGTTCAGTCTAAGTGGTCATACCTAATGCATTAGATTATCAAAAAGTGTAAATTCTGTGAGTGGGTGGCAGTGTTTGTATACCAAGATGCATGGGGTGTTTGACAAAGAAACCAAAACACCAAAAATGGTGAGCCTTTACCCTCCTCTATTTCTTTAATCTGCTGTTTGAAGAACCACATTTTGATGGAACCAGTAGTTACCTCTGGGCCAGGTTGGAAATGAAATCAATTTTTTAAACCACTAGTACTTGCCAAGAAATCGCCTTATGAGAACATGGTGTGTGTCTCTGACAATGCATGGCACATCTAAATTGATCACTCATAGTTTTATCTACCCTGTTTTTGTACTGGGGAGTGGCCAGAGCCTGAGACACCTGCATATTTCTATTCCATGTGTTTCATGCATCCCCCGTGGCTGGGATGCGGCTGAGCCTCAGACTCTTACCATTCCTGTACATGCAGGTCTCCACGAAGAAACTGGGACTCATTCACATTCAAGATCCAAACGCTGTGCAAACAGTGTAAGCTTAGATCTTCTGTAAACGAAGGGTCATTTCTCATTTTTTTAAAATGTCTCCAACATGGATTCCAAAACATTTTCAGCATCAAACATGAAAACATTGATGAATGAGGAATAATCACAAAAGCAGTGTATCTGTATATAGCTCTACACAACATGTTTGTGGTACAGAGTCATTACTTAAAGCACATGCCAGGGAAAGAGACCAAATTTTGAGGTCTTTTACATACAGTGACATGGTACTAAGGAGAATTAAACTCCTGCTTCCTCTGAAGATTCAAAACAACTTAAAGTTGTTATAACTTCATAAAACTCATGACCAAGTCTGGCAAACATGTGCAACTCTTGTACTGATCCATTTTCTTGTCATTGGAAGAAACACTTCCACAGGTATGCAAGTGGGGGATGAAAATCTGCATTATTAAAGGACAAACAGTGAATTTAAGCATGAGTGGCCTTAATAAATATAGTTGTCTTTCTTTGCTGCCGTGGAAAGGATTCGAAGCAGACGTTCCTGAAGTCTTGCATTGAATTTAGTCGTTATTATTACTTTTTAAAATGTCGGTGCAATTAACTCTGGACCTCTCGCGTGAGCCATAGAGATATTTAAAAGTCAGACACCTTATTTATCTATCGGGGAAGACGAAACTGTGTCTGGGCTGCACTGTTCATCCTTGGTGCATTAGGAGTAATATATTCGAGCAGGTTTCTTGCTTCTGGCTTTGTTCTTGTCGTAAGTATTGCAAACTGTGTAAAGCTTTTGCGTTGCATAAGCAATCCAATACATTCATGTTTAAAAAGTTTGTCCTTTAACTATCGAAGGGATCTAGGTCTTGACTGGAGAAACGAGCAGAGTTCTTTGCAGACGTATTTAGCACACTCTGACATAATGTTGCACTGAAAACCCAGGCCTGCAACGTGTCCCCGTGAACGGTTTGGGTGTCCTCAAATAGGTGGCCGCACTGCCTCCTGCAACCAGGTCCTGATCTGAACCCTGCCACTGAATACTTGAAGTAGGAAGTAGGAAATCCACTAGGGAATAGAGGGTCCTAGAAACAGAAAAATCAGCCAACCGTGTATAGTTAGCTATTTCCAAGTATGTGCCAATTTTGTCACACCTATTGTTTGGGGGGCTCATTTTTGCCCCACTTATGTTTAGAGTCGTCCCAATCTTACTTTTACGGGGGCATTATCATTTAGTCCCTTAAAAATTGAATTCTGTCTAACATAGCATCTTTTCATTATATATCATGTAGTATTCTCTGATATTGGGGGTTTAGCAAAAGAAATTCCCTTTTCACATATTAAAAATAGTTTGTGTTTACAACAAACACTGTGTTATTGGGAAGACATTTCCTTTGCACAGACTTTAGCAGGTTTCCCCCTTAATCATAACGAAATTGAAAAAGTCGAGACTAACATTTAGGAGGAGTTGGTCTTCTTGCTTTGTGCAAAAGCAAGCTTATACTTTATACCCCGTTTGATTTCGATGTACTGTCTCTATTTTGTATTTAATGATTTTTGTGTATCCAGTATGCACGTTAACAGCGTGTCAACTTTCATTTGAAAGTGGGTTTCCATTTACTTTTTAAACAGTGTTTATGACGAGACCTCAAATGTGTTGACATAAGCTCTACTGAGATGTTTTTGTGTCGAGTGGCGTTTGAATGCTGCCAGGGGTCAGTGTATCTAATTCCCAGCGACCCTCGTTTGACAGTGCTTCTTGTAATATTTCTCCAAGTGAGTGGCATGTGGGTTGTGATATTGACCATGTGATTATGGACTTCGATATAAAAAATAAATAAATAAACCTAAGGAACCCTCAGAAACTACCAGTGGGCATGTAGTAGCCAGTCATTGTAACCTCGTGTCTAGTAGAAGTACAACGTACAAGGTATGTACAGTTCATAAATTTGTTATCACGTGTATGAGAAGTACTTTGTGCTGATCGCCTTATTTATATTCATCAAATAAACTTTGTTTCTTTCTGAAGCGAGTTCATTCCATCTTGAATAAATGCTCCAACTGTGGTGGTTTCTAATCTTGTTTGGGTCATGGATCCCCATTTGAAGAAGCTATGGACTTGAAGACAAAAGGAAGAAAAAGGGAAGTTATGGACTCACTTTACTGGAAGAGCCAAGGTGTAAATTTCCCTCTATGCATAGCTGGATCTAAGGGCTCATACTGTATTAAGTAATTAAGTCACGGGTGGCATCTCCCTTCCTCCTTCCCTCCCCCTTTCCCTTCCGTTTTTGTCTTTCTCTCTCTCTCAGTTCCAGCCTTGTTCTCGATCTCTCTTTATCCCTCCCTCTCTTCCTCCTTCCCACCTTTTCTCACTTCCCTTTCTTCCCCTCTCCCCCCCCTTCCTCTTTTCCTCCTTGTTTCTTCTGCACGTTCCACGAGGTTGACATCAGTCCTGCTGCTTCTCTCCACTTGGTGGCAAAGATGACTCCCAACAGCTTTGAGTATTCTTGGATTTTAGAAGAGAGACACCCCTCTCTTCCAGCATCCATAACAGCCCTCTAGAGGGACTCTTACTGGTCCTTTTTGGATCATACATCCAGACTTACTGGATGTGGGAGACGTAGTTTCCAAAGGAAAAAAAAAAAAGGGCTCTAGTCTAGAAGAAAGACACTGAAAGCTGAGGAGGCTAAAACAATAGCCCTGCCATCACTTGGATACATGCACAAAATCATCCAGAAAAATACACAGACAGGATTGTCCATGCAAGGGCTCACCAGCCTTTGCAGCTCACCTGTGGATCGCAGTGGAGAATCAGCTCCTGGTTTTGTTAAAGTTTGAATTACATTCGAGGAAACAAATTATCAGTTCTTACCATTATTGCAGTTAAACAGTAATTGATTTATATTGCTAGAAGGTATATGTCATGTAACCTGATATCTTCATTTTACAGATGGGGAAACTGAGGCCCAGTCGGAAGCAACTGATCCAGGCGTAGACGGTAAGTTCACTGCAGTCCAAGGCTGTCCCTACAACTTCCGAAACAGGAATATGTGTCCCTGAAGGCTCTCTGGGGAGGAGAGGATGAGACAGACTCTCTTCCTCCCAGTTGGCCCTTGATGACACAGGGGAAATATCATTTCATTTCTATACTTTATGGACTCAAAGCCACTGGGTGCGAAATTCTCTCACAGTCAGACACATTTGGGGGCAACCTGCAAAGTCATTTGCCCTTTACATTATGTGCCTTTTTATGGAAAAAGAACTTTTGTTGGACAAGGATTTCTTACCTCATAGAACTTCCTGAAGCAGCCAGCTTGCATTCAAGCCTGGTTATATGAGCCCAGCTGACCAGATGGAGCCTCTGCTCCTATGTGCACAGAACCAGTCCTTCTGGAAGGAGAAGTAGCAGCTCACAAACTGCTGGTCCACCCATACCTTCAGTTCCACTGAAGCATATAGACAAGCCTGACGTTTGACCTTAAAAATCCACCCTGACTGCTTCTTGTGTCTGTGAACTGCTGTTACAAAAGATTGGAGAGACGTTCTAATTCTTGGCATCACTAATTCATAAGAATAATCGCACTAATAATAAGTAAACACAGATAAAAGTAATTGAACATTATGGAGTGTTTGCCAGGAGCCAGACCATGGCACCAGGGGCCCACGGGCACCACGCCTTTATTCCTGACAGCAGTCGCATGAGGTAGGTACTGTCGTGATCCACATTTCACAGCGAGGGGAACGGAGGCCCACAGAGGTGACCAGAAACGGTGCACATTTATCGAGCCCACTTACTTGGTGGAGCGTTGTGCTAAATGCTGTACTTACATGAATTCACCCATCCTGACAGTAGTCCCATGAGGTAGGTACTGTCCTCATGTATTATGGTATTATTATTATCCTCACTTTACAGACAAGGAGAAAGAGGCCAGAGAGCTTACACACCTCACCCAGCGTCGCCCAGATGGTACGCGGTGGAGCCAGGCTTCGCACCCAGCGCTCAGCAAGCCCTCTGCTTCAGGCCCCAGGTCAGGTGGGTGGAGCATATGGGGCTGAAATTCAGATCCTACTGGTACCCACCCAGCAGTGCTTCCATATCGCAAGTTTGGTCTCCACCACGACTATCCAGCTCACAGAGGCTTGAAGGAATTGTTTGCTTCGTCAGCGCCACTGCTGGCCCATGTGATGAGAGAATGGCAGTGGGGCCCAAAGGACGTCCAGCCACGTGTGAAAGGAGAGCTGAGACAACGCTTAGCCTGTTGCATTTTAACCTGCTAGCCATGGGCCTCTCTTGTTTCTTCTAAGCTCTCATTGTCCGGGCATCGGCATCTGATTTTCTAGGCATCTTTGGGTTTGCAAGGTGGAGCATCTGGTGACAGGAGACTGGACAGGTGTCCTCAAGGTGGGAGAGGACCCTGAGCTCCAGGCTAAGGGGTGTAGACCTAATCCTGTTGGCCTTTGGTTGTCAACTCCAGTTACTTGCATACTGCTTGCTAGATTCTTACTATGTCTTAAGACAATATGTAGTCGAGTTAAGTACCTTATAAAATTAAATAGGCTTACTGTCTTATTTAAATGAATATACTTTAAGAAAAAAAATGCCACCATCATAGATGAGTAAGTGGGATAATTTTCCGTACGTAGCCATCGCCAAATATAAGGACAAAAAATAATGAAAATAAGAACAATAAAAGTAAGTATTGAAAACAAAGCTCTGAGTCTGAAGCTTTCTCTTTCTTTGTTGAAGAGGGAAACTGGCAAAGGTTAGAAATGTGTTTGTGGGGCTGAACAGAGAGTTTTTCTTTGTTACTGAGTCAGAATGATTGAAAATGGTCAGTGAAGGAATGTTTAACTCTGTGGCTCGGGGATATTTCAGACTGTGCCTGTGGACCCCCTGTAATCATTTCAAGGGTCCACTTTGATCTCTGAATTTTAGGAAACCCTCCTGCAGCAACAAAAATCCAGAGATAGATTTTTAAATAAACTTTCTTTTTAATAGGCTTTATTTTTAGAACATTCTTAGATTTACAGAAGAACTGAGCAGATAGTACAGAGAGTTCCCATATAACCTTCCTTCCCACACAGATACAGTTTCCTCTGTTACTAAGATCTTACATTCACATGGTATATTGTCACTAATGGAACAAACATGAATACGTTGTTATTAACTATAGCCTATTGTTCATTTAGATTTCTTTAGTTTTAAGGTTTTAATGTCCTTTCTCTGTTCCAGGAGCTCATCCAGAATCCACATTACGTCTGGTTGTCATGTCCCTGTCGGCTCCACTTGACTGTGAGTTTCTCACACTCTCTTTGTTTTTGATGATCTTGACAGTTATGAGGAGTACGGATCCGGGTATATTGTAGGTTGTCCCTCCGCTAGGATGTGTCTGATCTTTTTCTCATGGTCAGACTGGGAATATGGGTTATGGGCAGAAGACCACAGAGGTAGAGTGCCACTTCCATCACATCATATCAAGGATGCATACTACAATACGGTTGTTGGCTGTTTGATGTTGACCTTGATTGATCACCTGGCTGAGGTCGTGTTTGTCAGGTTGCTCCACTGTGCTTACTTCTTCCTCCCACTTTATGATAGATTTTTAAAGTGCAGAGATTAATGATCAGACCTCTGTCTCAGAACATTCTGCCGGGAGTGTAGAGGGCACCACACTGGCTAGAGAAGTTCCCAAAGTCTTTTGGATCAAAATTGTCTAAATCAACAGTTCATTGATTTGGTCTGTTGTTTGGACCAGTCAGTTTTCTCTTCTATTTGAAAATACCTTCGCCACCTCTAGCCTTGCCTCCCCCTGTTGGGTTACTTCAGCATCTATGGCAGAAGTGATCATTTTGGGCAGAACAGACCCTTTCCCGAGTGCAGGGCAAAGCCAGCATTTCTATGGGTTAAAAACAGATGTTGTCTGTGCCAACACTGTGACTTCACTTAGACGGGACTCAGGAGAGAAACTTTGCATAAATTCAAGACAAAATCTCCGTGTCTGCATAACTGCAACTCACTGGATAAGGACGTTATGGCTGTTTGAATTTGGGAGGTGAAATATGAGTATTTATTTACGTAAGCATAACTGTTAGAATTTTTTTCTTTCGCAAGTATCCCCCTCCCCCAGCAAAGAAGAAAAGAACAAAAACATAACACAAGACAATTTGAGCAAAAACAAATACATACATACACATACATACACATACATATATATGGCTTCATGCAGTGAACAGTTCAGAGGTAGTGGGTTTCAGGAGTGGCTTGTCCCAGGGGCTCAAATGACTTCTCACTGTCCTTTTCTCAGTTTTGCTTCCTTCGTGGTAATCCATTCTTGAACAGTCGCCAGGCTTCAGGTGAGACCCTAGACCCCTAGAGGAGGAGTCATGTGCTGTTCCCCACTAGGGATGGAGCCCACCTCAATCTTGTGGATCGAGAAAGGGGAAAGAATGGACTCTCAAATAAGAAAGGCAAATGGATGCTGAGGAGGGAAGCATCAAAGGCACACAGCAGTATGACAGACTCACAGCAAAACATCATTGGAGACGGGTTTATTTTACCTGTGAATAGAACCTTGACCCAGAAAGGAGCAACAGGATGTATGTTCAGTTGGAAACATTAGATTGGCAATGAAGACATAAATGAAATCTCTGTTTTATAACTAGTTTGCCACACTTGCTGTATGGTAGCACGCAGTCATATAATTGCGTGTACCCTCCGTTTCTGAATCTAACCAATGGGAATAATATGTCTCTTAACTACCTGGCGTGGTATGTGAGAAGATAAAATGAGACAATAAATGAGAAAATGTTTAGAAAAACTATTTTAACAACAGAACTCTCTCCAAAATTCTAACAAAGTCCTAGAGTGACTTGTTTCAATTTTTAGAACCTGTTTCCAGAGAAGGAAGTCTTCCTCGTTAGAGGCTCAGCTATAATGTATTCAGGCAAATATATCAAGCAATAGACTTTAGGGTAAAAGCTGTTAAGAAGGAGTGTTATTGCCATTTGCCACGACGTGGATGAATCTCACATAGCATTAGGTGAAAGCACATGGACACAAGAGAACCAACTGTGCGAGTCCATTTATGTAAACCTCAGAAACAGACCAGTTTCCTCTATGGGGTTAGAATTCAGGATAATGGCTCACCTTCAGAGGGTTTGTAACCGGTAAGGGCACGAGAAAAGGTCACTGGGATGCTGGTGATATTCTGATTCTTGGCCTGGAAGTCGGTTACGTGGTTATGTTCAGTTTATGAAAATTCATCAGGTGGCATACGTATAATCTGCGCACGTTTCCGTCTGTGTATCTCATTGAAAAAGTATCCTAAAAAGATGTAATGTCATTAAGCATGACTCCAGTTTCAGATGACGAAGGCTGGAAAACTAGGGCCTGTGGAATGAATTCAGATTTCGGATGCTTCTTGTCTGGCCAGTACCGTGTCTTAGGGTTTTTTCCCCCAGGGCAGTAGTGATAGGCTTGGAGTTTGGGAACCTGGGGAGATGTTAGATGTACTTGCCACTTCTCGATTGTCCTCATTTCTCTCTATAAAGCTACACCTGGCCCACTTCACCCCAGAGTGTTACCAGCCTGACCCCCTGAAGGTATTTGAGTTTGCAGGTTCGGGAAAGGTTAAAATCCTGACTCCATCACAGCCCAAAAAGTGACCCTGGGCTGGTTACTTAGCCTCTCTGTGCCTGTCTTCTAATCCTAAAATTATAATACATTCCCAGAAGGGGTTTTTTTTGTTTTTTTTTAATAAGGATCAAATAGGCACTTAACACAATGCCAGCCACGTGACAGATTCTCAAAAAATGGAAATGATAACTATTATTAGTAGTAATATTGCCATAAATACTAGAATGTTTAATGAAATAAAATCGATGGTCTCTTGTGGACCTCCAGCCGTTGTCTCACAAGAATCACTGCTGAGCCAGTCCTTGCTCAGATCCCATTTGCCATGTCAGCGTTTTCATCAACCACGTTTAATAACCAGTTACCAGATGTGGATATTGGGGGCCGTAAATTTCCCTGGTGGCTGTTGCCAATGGCAGGTAATTGTGTAATTACCACTTGTATTTCCACAAAACACGTGAACTCAAGTCAACATCAAGCGTTGTAGACAATAAGACACCAGGGTTTTAAAATGCAGGAAAGAGCTGCCCAACCTGTATGATAAGAAACGGGTTCCTGGTTAGAAAACAGAGAAAGGACTGATACCAGTGTGGCAAAACACCACTGGAAGCCTTTGCACTGGCAGGACCATTTCCTTTTTCCTTCCCAAGTGCTGCATACACCTGGAAGAAGAATTAAGGGTTTAGGATTAGCCATGGGTTGCTTAGGAATCAGTACCTTCACCTCTGGCCACAATCCACGGCCTCGGTTTTCAGTGTCCCTTTGGTAATGGAGTTGCCTTTCTCAGTTTAGCATGGTCGCTTGGAAATGATGCCAAGCTGTTCAGCATCCTTCAAGCAAGGTAGCTTAATGGGTTCCATGGAAATATCCCAAGACAGCAACATACTAGGACTTTTAGAGATATTGACACCATGACTCCAATCGGAAATGCTCAAGGTATTCCTTTGCAAGATGCCAGACTTAGACCCCAAACTTTAGTTGAAGATTCTTTGGTTTCTGAGCATCATGTTTTCAGCTTATGAGAAAGGAAGTTAAAATGGGTCGCAGGGGAAAAAATGTCTTGCCTTTGGATTCCCGCAAAGTGTTTGATTTTTTTAAGAAAGAAGAAACTGGATAAGCTTTATTGCTACTATTATTTCTTCCCGTGCAGTGTCTGTGCATTAGCAGGCTAGCATTCCTGCAGTGGGCTTAGGTTGAATTTGTGTTTCTAGAAGGAGCTGTCCACATCAGCACAGGACCAAGGCGGGTGAGCAAAAGTCGAGCACGTTGAGCAGTGATAGGGGACAGAACTGGAATTTCTTAAGATGACCAGTCCCAAATCTCCTGAACTTCCAGAAATTATAAAGTCATGGGAGAAGAATTTCTCCAACAGTCTTATTTGGCTGGCCAAAGAAACTGAAATTCAACAAATTGAAAAGTGATCACAGTGAATTCTGAAAGAACAAGTTCAGAGCATGGCATGGGGCCATTTTTAGAAGTGTAGATGCCCTTCTACCAAGCTAATGAAATGGCCCTATTTTCCTTCTGACAACAACGGTTTCATTGATATATCATGTTGCCCCAAACCAGTCGAAATTGATAACAGAGTAGTTGATTTTAAATTACCTAAGACTCAAGTAGGCAGAAAGAAATAAAAATTTGCTCCAGGTATTTGGAGGGGCAGGGCCTTTTGCAAAATTGGACAAGAGGCATCATTAGTAGCACTTTCTTCAGGAGACCAATTTTCTGTGCATGTGTCCTTGCAATTGTTCCGAAAAGCATGGATTCCTCCTGGTGCACCTGGAAGTCTTGTCTTTTCCTAACCTATGACTTTGGTTCATACAGTGTCACCTACTGTCAAAAGTATCCAGCCGAAAAGAGTAAAAGGCATTTGACTGAAGAACGATAATACAGGCAAATTGGATTCCAGATTTTGTACAACTCCGAGATAGTTTATGTTCATCTTTTTTCAGTCTCAACATAAGAGTAAATTGCAAGATGCCCCCTAAACGTTTTTATGTGCTACAGCTTATCTCTGAAGAAAACAAAACACGAGCGGGATGGCTTTGTAGAACAATCCTCCCTTTATCCTCCAGAAACGGCACTTGTAGGTATGATTAAATGTAGCCGAGCTAGGTAAAATGGATACCACATTTGGAGCAAGGAACTGTATTTTCCTTCAGCCAATATTTTGGAAAAACCTGATGTCAGTTTGGACATTGGTATTAAACCAATCCATACAAATTCAGGCAAATACAGCTGCAGAAATCTCCTGTAAAAGCCAGTCATTTTGTGCTGAGGGCATCTAACTGAATATTAGCACATGGTGGTAACTAGCCAATCAGTTTGTGCGTTTGATTGGAATTTCAGAAGATAATTGTTTCATTTCCAGGTCTGTCTCTAGCTCACCATTTGACCTTCAACTAATTGCTTAATCTCTCTTAGCTTCAGGTTTTCTATCTTGAAAGTGAGAAGAATAATAACAACCAACTACCTATCTCATCCGGGTATTGAGTGGATTAATGGGGTCATGTTTGTAAGGTCCTGGAAAATTCTCAAGAGAGAAAGTTCTGCCACTTTTCCCTTTCTGCCTGGTAATATTTTAGAGCCATAAATGGGAAGGGTTGCATTTAATGGGGTCGTTATTACAGACGGATGTCCTCTGCTTCCTTATAACTAGA